CCTCCCCCTTTTCTGATGAAGGGTCTAGGCCCGAAACGTCAGCCCCGCTGCTCCTATGATGCTGCTTGGCCTGCTGTGTTCATCCAGCCCTGCACCTTGTTGTCCCAGATATGCAAGGACTGTCTTATAAGCAGAGGTTGAGTAGATTGAGCCTGTATTTGTAGGAATTTAGAAGAACAGGAGGTGACTTAAATGAAATATTCAAAATATTTCAGAGTCTTGACTGGGTACGTGCAGAAAGGTTATTTCCCTTTGTGGAACAGTTTAGGACCAGAGGACATAATCTCAAAATAAGGGGTAGCATATTTAAGACAGAGATAAGGAGGAAAACCTTCTGTCAGATGGTACAGTCTGAATCTTTGGAATCCTGTATAGCAGACAGCTCTTGAGACTGAGTCATTAAGTATTTTCTGAGATAGTTGGATTTTTAATCAGTGAGGGAATCAAGGTTATGGGAAAAGACAGGAAAGTGAAGTTGAAAATTGTCAGATCAATAATGATCTCATTGAATGGTGGAACAGTCTCAATAGCGCTGAAGAGCCTACTTCTATTTCTACATCGTATGGTTTTGCAGTCACCCCTTACCCATTCTCTTATTAAAACATATCCAGCTAGTACTGTATCAAACAAAATTTCACAATGCTTTTCAGGGTACATCATTGGCCTAATTTCTCATCTTCCTTATTTTGCACAAAAGGATCCTTTTGTTTTTTTAACAAAATAATTAATTCTAATTCTTTTTATATTTTAATACTTGATTTTAAAATGACAATGTTGAAAATCTAAAACCATTCAATATAATGGTCGGCCATCTTTTCTAAATGTGATAAAATTGAATGACTTGCTGAGACCCTTCAGAAAGCACGTGGGATAGATCTATATCTATACAGGCCAGATCAGGTAAGGATGGTAAGTTTCCTTCATTAAAACTGAGTTTAAGACAACCCAACAGCTTCTTACTGATGCCAATATTTACGTCCAGATTGTCAAAATTGAATTAAAGTTCTCAAATTGTTGTGGTAGGATTTGGATTCTTGTTGTAAAGCTTGTTAGTCCATGTCTCTGAATGCCTAATCCAGTAGTCACATTACATTGAACATTGATTTAGATTCTTAACATTAAAGAAAACAAAGGTATCACTATGAAATTTCTAAGTGAACAGATGTTAAATAATGTACTGAGGCTAAGAGTGGTGCTGTGAGGTAGTAGTGCTAACCACTGAGCCACTGTGCCCTCATTGAGATTATGGTTCAAACTGCAGACATATTTTGCATTTTTGCCTTTGAAGAATATAAATGGTCAAGGGTTAAAAATAATTCTTCAACTCTGCTAGTGGGACTGAACATTCTCATATGTTCCAGTCTGTATTCAAGAGTGAGCACACTGGGAAGGCCACAGTCAAAGAACAATCTTTTTTTCACCTTTTGTTGCAGGTAAAGGAAGACCTCCTTGACTCTAAGTGCTGTAGCCAGTTTAAAATGGAATCAGTACAAAGGAACTTCATTCAGCTAACAAAACAAAGAATCTCAAAAATAATCTGTTCAAATGACAATGTCAACACTACTGGTAACCTCCACTGCAACAGCAGCAATGCTCAACTAACCACTTTTCATGCACAATTCAAGCACTGATTAACTTTTATCTTTTTGGACTCCACTCTTACTTCTAGTCTCTATC